AAGTAGATATTTATGTATTCCCATATTTTAGTCCTTGTCTGTATTACAGACTCCCAGCATCATGTGTGGCTGGGTTTCAGTACAGGCTGGTCCATGTGCTTTTTGTTGTTCTAGAGCCATCTTGCTTGAGTGTGCCATGGTTTGATTCCGGTTTTGGCACAATGTTTCCCCAGACATGAAGAATTTGGGTGGGTCTGGCTGTGTACTTGTGCTTTGGTGCTGAAGACTTGGACCTTGCTGTCTTTTTTGAACTGGGGGAAACAGCCTGTGGCAGTCCTTGAACTTCAGGTCTCCATGCTTGCAGAAGGTGCAGTGTATGAGGGCTCACCTGATTTTGAAGAACAAACTAAAAAGAGACAGTTTCCTGTCCTGGTGCCCCTCAGGTGACACAGTCTTAGTGGTGGGCACGAGCTTCTCAGCTTGGAATCCAGCTTTTGCACTGCTGAGATGCACAGAGAGCTCTCAGGACAAATCAGGGCAGAGAGCACAGCAGGGATCTTGAGGCTGTGGTGGAAGACGGATGCTCTGACAAGGCAGGAGGCTGTGATAACCAGATTTGAGTGTCTTCAGCTGCTGAGGAGTTTGATCTCGTACTAGAAAAGGTCTACCTCAGGTACATCAAATTCAACAAATTCCATCAGTGATTTCCTTCTTCTCTGATGTCCTAGTCTGATGCAGTCCTCAAGACAGACTTTTTTTCAGCAGCTGTGTTTCTGCAGATTTGTCTTCAGCAAATAAAAGCTTGAGGACATGACTGAGCTGGAAGTGCAGACCTGAGTGGGAAGGAGACCATTGGGGCACAACGTCAGCCTGAGACTCGACTCCAGCAGAGCCAGTGTTCTCTTGCTTTGCACTTGGAAATAATCTTGTGCTTTCAGAGATTGAAGCTTTAACAAGTAATTTAAAGAGTAGTAGAGGAGAGAGAATCCACATTTAATTCAATTAGCGTTGTTGTTCAATGCCATTAATTATGCCCAGACTTGTAATGTGTTTCACAGGAGCTGATACACTTGAGCTTTGTCTGTGCTGAGGTTGGCTGAGGACAAGTATGCCCATTGATGTAGAATCCAGCCTTTGTGCTTTGCAAAAACCCTCAAATCTGGTATCTGACTGTAGCCTGGAGTAAGGAGTAGCCAGAATAGCCTGTACTGCAATCTTCAGAACAAAGGAGGTCTTGGGGAGAGTGAAGATTCGACGTACGTGCTTTCAGCGTTCTTGAAGAGAGGCTGTTTTAGTGGAAATAATAATCTCCTGCAATTTTATATTATTTCCAGACTGTTTAAAATTGTTCCATAGGCAGAGAATAAAGAACTTTGTTTACTGTCTTGAAGTAGAATGTCTCATCCTCCTGAGGGAGGTTATTCTTTTATTAAAACAGATACAAAATAGCTACTTTGGAAATACAACGCTAGGAATTGAAATGGTGATGATTACAGAAACTATAGTAGTCTAATGCAAAATAAGCCTTAGGAGATATGTGCCCTAAATGATAAATCACTGTTCTTTAACAAAACGAGAATTACTGTTACTTTATGTTTCTTGCTTATTTTACAAGGTCTTTAGCTGTTTCATCTGCGCTTAACTTTTACAGGCTGGAGGTAAATTGATTGTTGCTTTGTGTTGTAAATAGCCTGTCTTTTTTCAGGCACACTGGAGATGCAAGTACCAATCAACAGGATAGGATTCATTTGGTCTCAAAAAAGCAAAAGTAAAAGAAAGAGTCATGACTACTGACACCACATGTAATAACTGCACTGGAATCTGTTCTTATAATTTGGTAGAGTTTTGTAATCTCATTGCTTTTGCTTTGGAAGCCTCCAGTAAGGCAAATAAGTATATGTTATTTTGAACTGGAATTAATGACCTCCTAGCAGGCAGGGAACAACTGGCAGCAGCATTATTCATTTGGGGTGTCATGTTCCAGCCCTATCCAGGAGCTTGTGGTTTACTCTGGATAATTAGGCATACCTGCCAGATGTCTGGAATCTGAGATGCTGTGGTGTATTTAGCAAAAAAGAGTGTCCTAAATACTGGCTTCGAAGCTGAGCACAGAGGAAGTAGTTGAAAGGGGTAATGTGTCCCAGTTTCTGCAATTTGTGATTACCTGAAATCCTTAATGATGGCGTCTAAAAACAGATAACAAAACCTTAGCATCTTTTCTATGTTAATGTTAGCTTGTGACAGCTCCAAGCTAGCAATGTAGAGAAAGTACTGGGTTTGGAGATCAAAGAACCACCTGGTTCAGGCAGTTCAGGGGAAGGCTGGGTGACAGGCTGGCCCTTTGGCTCACTGCATCCCTCAGGAGCTCACGCAGTAAGAAGGAAGACACACTCAGTGCTGGCTGGGAACCTGTCTGTGTTGAGATACCTGCACTGAACTTTGCAAGCTTTTAGCCTTCCTGATGCCCAGGACAGTCTCTTCCTAACAATAGTTTTCTCTTGTAGGAATGCAGATCTGTACCATATCTGCCTGAATCTTCATTTTAGAAGCAGCCAGAGGATAAAACCCAGCACAGTGCTCATTTAAAGTCAATATGCTCTAGCTTGCAATTTGCTCATGTTTAAGTGCCTAGCTTTTAAGGTTTCCTTTGCCCACAGGCAGTCTGAACACAAAGGCAGGTTCTCTTTTTTTTTTTTTTAATAAAGAAGAAGTATTGCAAAAGCTCAAAGAACAAATACTTCTTTCCACCTTCCATCTCCTCCGGTTTATTATCAGAAAACAGAGGCTGCCTGTATAAAGTCTAGAGGGGAACAAAGAGATGCCAGCACCTCAAGTGCAGCTGGAAATGAAGGTGGTGGGTGAGCTGTGTGTGTACATACATGTGTGAGAGGAGTGAGAAGGTCCCACCTTGAAGCAGTGTTGAACTTTACAGCGATAAGGTGTTAGGCAAAAACCCTCTACACATAACTGATTTCTTTGTTCTTGGTAGGGTTTGGTTGAGTGAAGATGAATGTAAGTTCTGAGTCTCTGCTGCAGTATTGTGTAAATTATTCTCTTTGGAGAAAAGCTTAAATGTGGGGTGTGAGAAAGGGAGTTGCAGTTACAACACAGTATCTCCAAGAAAAATGTGAAGAGAATAATGTATTTATTGCAGGAGCAGTTCCCCTTCTGGAGCCATGCACAGAAGGCACGATGTGCCATCTGAACTCTACCATGAAGAATTCAGCATGTATCAGAAGTTATTTGCTATTAATGATTTGAGTCCTGCAGACTGGAAGGAGGGATTTTCTTTAGGATTTCAGAAACCTTATTCTCATTGATGGATTTTGTAACCTGAGTTATTCTGTGATTCAGTAAAAATGGAAGTAGTGCCTGCTTGTATCACTTCTGCTGCCTTACCTTTGAAGGCTGTCTCTGTTGCATTTTGACTGAGGTGATTGGCAGAGGCTTATTGTCATGGTCTTGGTTAATATTAGTGCTTACCTGAAAACAGGACTGTCTTCCTTACTGAAGTTGGAGTTCCAGAAGGTCAGAATACATCTGTAAATAAAGGAAAACTGGGCAGGGATATATATCTCAGCTTGTTTAAAGAGAATCTATAGATCATGCAAGAATTAAATGTGGACCTTAATGAGATATCAGCAGCAAAAGGTCACTGGGGGCCTGCACAAAATATGGCACAGCAAAAGGGGAAATCCAAAGGCTATAGCTGGGTTGAAATGCACTTTTTCTAAACGATACAAAATGTAGTGTTGTAGTTCCCTGGTGATGAAGCTGTTCACACTTGGAGAATATTTAAACCTTTATGTAGTTAGGCTGAGCACCTCTATTACAGCAGTTTCATCCCAAGCCTTTTTATATTCCTGTGATGTGAAGAGATGGAGTGGATTTGTCCAGACTTTGCTTTCGGCAAAGTGTGTTCAGTTTGCAGTTTTGGGCTCTGTGTCATTCTTCTTGGATTTTCTGGCTTTTGTTTTTAAAATATGTGTGTAAAAATATGTGTGTGTTTATATAGTCCTTAATAAAGGATATTCTTTGCATGTCTTTTTGACAGGATGTGCCAACAGAAGCCCTGCTTTGGCTTTAAAGCCTGTGTAGCCAGATCCCTTCAGGGTTTGTAATGAAATGATCGGTTTGTAGTTTCATTTTACGTGGCTGAGGATTCATAATGCTGGGCAAAATCTTGAGTTCTCAGTGAGTAAGCTGGTTCTTTATTGGCCTCTTGCTGGGAAACTTCTGAAAGACATTCATCTTCCAAAGGGAACTTCTCTGATTTCTGTGCTGGAACACACAATTGCATAAGAAAAAGGAAGGTTCAGACGCCGGTGCTGGCGAGCAGCAGAGCGTTCTCTTTAGGCGGTATCCCTGCAAGAACCCGCCTTTGATCTCCCTTCTTTCTGTTTAGATTTTATTATGTTGTCTATCTGTTAAAAATTTAAATAACCTTGTATCCAGTTAGACCTTACAGACTTAGTGAAGATGTAGGAAGGGAAGAATTTCAGTGAATTAATCTCTAGCCATGAATTTTTTGTTTAATTATCGTCGCTTTGGGCAGTTTGAGAGAGGTGTCTATTTAATTGTAGGTGTTGATGTTTTATAGCCTTCTCTAGTCTCCAACTGAGTGTACTTTATCAAATGCAAAGAAACTTTCAATGGTGTGTAAGATTAACTGCTCTGAAAGCCAGTGGGCCTGTTCACTGCAGAACTGAAAGAATGTTTTTGCAGAAAAAAATTCCACTCCTTCTATGCTGAAGAAAAAAGAGAAAGCTTAAAGCAGATTTAAATATAAGATAGTAATCTCTTAGTCTGTTGCCTGTTAATATGAAGTACTTGATAGATGCTTCACATGATTTCTCTTCGTTGCACTGAACCCAGTCATACCAGCACAGTTGCAACAAGCTTGTCTGAAACAGGGAAATACACATTTCTCTGAATCTCTGCTTGCAAATTGTTGGGTAAAATGTTTTTTTTTTCCAATCAAAGAAGCTGAAATCAGTAGAATAGTTATACCATGATGGTAGAAGTGAGAAGTTAATTTTTTTTTACCTGCTTCTTTATAGGAACAAAGTCCCAGTAACCAGACTTCAATAGCAATGATGCAAGAGCCTCAAGAAATGGTGGAAGAGACAGTTACTGTGGAGGAAGACCCAGGCACTCCCACTTCCCACGTGTCTATTGTCACTTCTGAAGATGGAACCACGAGGAGAACTGAAACCAAGGTGAGAGGTTAATAACCACTGAGGAAAATGGCAAAGTGCCATCTAATCATGGAGTAGAAATAGCAGGGAGTAGCCTGAGTGATGACAATTGTGCTGTTGTGATCCTCAGTGATTCTGAGCATCGTGTTTGCCAGCAGAGCTGAGTTCAGGGCTTTCTCAGTTTCACCTCTGTGTCTAGATTGCTCCCTATCAGCTGTGCTGATACTGCTGTTAATGGAGCTGTGAACTGAGCAGTAGAAGTTATCCAGGTTAACCAAACAAAAACACCAGAACCTCTTCTCAGGCTGCTTATTCTTGTAATATTCACTTCATTCTACTGAAGCAGTTCTCAGCATTGCCCTGCAAACAAAAATTGATGAATTGGTAGGGCTTGGCTGAGGGAAATGTGTCTTAAATTAGTGACAATCTATAATAACATTATGTGATTATGCATTTGTCCTGTAGAACAAGAAACAGCCTGTTTAAATAACATCATAGCATTTAAAATCTGCACCAATCTTGTGAATGGCATCTTACTCCTAATGCATGGGGAAAGCTGGGTGTGCTCTCAAGTGACTGTACCTCAGGTTTGGCTGGATTACAGGTGTGGTAACGTTCTAATTTTCCTGATATCTTTTTGTTCCTTGTGTAAGGTAATTGTACAGTCTCTTGAGCAGGTGCTGTGTGTTCATGGCTGCCTTGCATGCTTTCAGTACCACTGGAACGTTACAAAGATTAAGGGTGATTCCCTTTTTAAAAACTTCTAAACAGGACTGATTTAAAAAATAAAAAAAAGGAGGGAGGGGATTGTTCAACTGCTTTCTGTGTTAAAAGGACTTGAAGAGAGGTCACTGTGTAAATTAGTGTTTATTTTCACTGAGGTTCCAGATTTGCAGTCCTCTAGAATATCTATTCAGGACATCAGATCCTCAGGTTGAAGTAAATGAATGTTGATTTCCTGAGGTCAGTAGCCCTGTACAGATTATAATAAACTGAGTATCTGGTTTAATAGTTGTTGCAGTTAGTTACAAGGTAAATGTAACTGGCCTATTTTCTCATTATTGGAAGGAGATTAAGGTCTTAAAAATAAAACATGAACAAAAAAACCCTCGCATTTTTATTTTCTCTTCAACTAATCTAATGTATTTAATTTGTGACTTACATGAAAGAAATGCTATTTTCTTTCTAGTGGCAGCAACAACAACTGTTATTTGCAGGAAGGAAGTGATAAAATTACAGTGGAGATGGACACCTTTTTATATGTACTAATAGTAGTGCATAGTTTTAGGAGTCTGCAAGGGCATAAGATTATAGCTATGACTGTAAAAATAGAGGTGAGGCCATGCCTCACCTAGATAACAGGACCACATGGAGTGAACAGTTTGTCTGGAATGGTTGTGGCACTGATAAAAGCTGCGTGTTTGTCACGGCTCAGAGGTGTGATTTTCTCCTCTGTGCTGGGGACCTCCTGTTCTTCCATCTTCCCACAGGAGAGTTCAGTGGCAGCTTCAAAACAGGCATTGTAGCTGCATATGGGAAAGGAAAATTGAAAAAACAGCAACCCTGGAGCTACTGTTCCATTTCAAAGAGCAAGGCTTTCTTGTGCTACTGCAGGTCATTGCAGGCACTGAAGTGTGTCCAGGATGGGGCTGGGATGTGCAGCTGTCTTACTCTCCATTTGTGTTGTTTCAAATAATGCCACTGACTGCAGCTTAAGTGCTACCTGGAGCTGTTTCCTAGTAATTCATTGCTACAAGGGCCAACAAAAGATACCGAAATACCAGTTGTTGAGAAAAGTGATTCTGAAATGTCAAAACACAGCCTGGCTTAGCCCTGACTCTCAGAAGAGGTGCTGAGATTTTGCTGGGGTTGTTGCCTCTGAAATGGTTTTGTTTTGACTTCTCATTGCTATGATGAAAAGGCATAGATTTAACAGCTCTTACATACTAGTCTGAGGTCAGATTTTACTCGTTTTTTACATCACTTTGGGTCTTCAACTTGCGTTTTGTTTTGGTAGGGACTGTGAAAATGAAAACTGTGTCACTGGGGCTTAGTAGCATCAGTTAATTGCCCTGGAGTTAATTGTCATTGACGCAATCGTTTCTAATAGCTGTCATCATGGTGCTTTCATAGCTCATGCTATTATGTGTGGGAGCCTTACAGAGAATGTTATGTTTCCTGGTACCTCTGTGCAGTGGCAGAATTCTGACCTTACTGCTCAGGTGAGGGTGCTGAAGAAATCTGCCTGGCATGGGAGATGCTTCTGGCCATCCTACATGCCAGGAGTAGGAAATGTTGACCCCAAAAGTTGCAGTTTTGTGTCTCTGCCTGTTCCCTCACAGATTTAAAGAAATGGAAAATACACTTAACAAATCCCCCCCAAACCAGAAACCCCCACATGAATCTTGCCTTGCATTGTGTGCAGGTGGTACTTGTCCTTGTAGAGGAGCAACATTTCCTGTGGTGGGAATCCTCAAATCCCTTTTCAGTCCTCTCCAGTGTGTGAAGGTGAGATGGTCACACTGTGCTCAGGGGGGGTAGGTTTGTGCTCAGCCTTTCTTTTTACTCTGAGCAGTGGCCTTTTATGCTCTGCATTGCTGTGCTTGCTCCAGGCCCCTTTAAGGAAGGATTTGGAACCTGCTTTTGTTGTGTCTATAACTAAGGGCTCTGCTGGACAGTGTCAGCCACAATCTCCAGCAAATCTGTCTTGCAAAGAAAGTGGTGGCATAAGATACTTCCTCTGACAGAGGAAATAACACGGGTCATGTTTTTTTAAGAGCCAGAGAGACCAGAGGTGTTTTTCAAATGTGTTCTTTCTTTGCTGGATACTTTATGTGGGGATTTGTCAACTTAATGCCATTTTTGGATTATTAAAAGGAAATTATCACTTATTTTTGCTAAATTGTGTGAATTTCTAGCTTGCTGGAGAGCAATGCTTCTGAAATTCTTCCTCTTGAAATGCAGCACAGCAAAGGCTGTAAACGTGAATGCTCCTGGATGCTGCTGCTCCTTTATTCTCCGTTCCTTCCCCAGTTGTTTCAAACCCATTATTTATAGAGGTTATTCTTTTCAATAGTGTATTAAGTAAACAACCTTAATCTAGATGCATTGACAGTTTTGCTTTGCTTTTCCCTCATCTTTGAAAATGCCTGTAGCAGTGAAGCAGGAAGAAGGCGTAATAGAATTTAATATTTGACATATTTTAAATAGAGAACATCTGCCTTTTCAAAATGAGATATCTCTGGGTAATTTTCTCCTACCTGTTATTCTTTTAGTGTTATACTAAGTCCCTACATAGCATTCATTGCACAAAAGATGTAGCAGATAACACTTCATTTCAACTTTATAATATCTCTGGAAGCCAAATACCTATCAAGCTAAAACAGTGAAAGTCACCTTGGGGAGAGACTTCCACTTCTTGCTGCTGGCTGGAGCACTGCCAGGTGTTAAAGGGAGCCTTTTGTAAGTGGCTCAAGAGAACTCAGTAAAGCAAATTACATGCGTGTGTTTGTGTAAATGTTCATGGTTTTTTTACTTTTCCCAGGCACCTTTTATTTTTATCTTTGAAATGCCACAATTTAGGTCACTGTTACTCATTGAAATTGATGTTTCATCATAGCAAACTGGGAAATCAATCCGTATACAAAGTTGTTTAATTTGTAGTCCATCCATTTTCTCTGAGCTTTCCAATACTCAGCAGGTCCATCTCGTTCCCAGCAGTGATTAACTGCTGTTCCCACTTCCTAACACCTGTGATAAGAAAGTGGTTGTTACCAAAATTCTCCGTTGTGCTGGTGCCAGATACCCCAAGAGTTCTTAGCAACTTTACAGGAAATTCAAAGTAATTAGGCAATAGAACCAGAGTGTATTTTAGCTGAAGTTGAGGGCCCTTTCACAATGTGAAATACTAGGCTTGAAATTGAAGGGGAGAGATTTCAGCTGTTGTTTTGAAAACCTGCAGGGTGAGTTCTTCCACAGCATTTAATAGAAAGGTAATAGCTTCAACCTGCATGGGCTGATAAATTTTTACAGTCCATAGTTCAAAAATAAGCTCACAGAAATGTCAGGATGCTCAGATCCTCCTGCATTCCTTCTCATCTGATTCTTGGTTTATGAGAGTTTCAACAAGATTGTTTCCCCCTTAGCTTTTGTAATGCAGTTAATTTATTTTTTAAAAAATAGAGGCAAAATAAAACCAACCTCTGAAACAAAATGGAAGGCAGAATTACAGATAAGATGACTGCATCAGACATGATAGCCCAGTTCCACAGAAATTTTGGTACTGTCTTTACACCTGTGTGACTGAACATTGTGAGGCACCTACTTGTACCATATGCACAGACATCCAGTAAATCCAGTTGCTGGATAGTTTCATGTTTTTTCTCCCATCCTCCTAGATAAATAGGAGGATAAGGGGCAGAAAAATACAGAAGCTGCTTCAAATGTGTGAATATTTCCTTTGTGTTCCATTGGCAAAGGTATTTCCAGAAACAGAATTAGTGAAACCATTATCATGGGGCCTTGTAAGGGAATTATTTACAATTAAAATAATTGTTATTTGGGGGGTGAACAATTGTAAGGTCAGTAAACCTGAATTATACTTATATTTTGGGGTGTGGAGAGCAGCAATGAAAGCACTAACTTGAGGTATCACAAAATTTTGGCTGCAGAGAGCCTGAACTAGTAAGTAAATTGGAAATTTTGTTCTGGAGCTGAAATCTTGGTATCTGTACAGGGAATAAAGAATTACAAATATATTGTAAGCATATTCAGACAGCCTCTTCATAGGGAAGTATTGTGAAGCTTTCCTCTGGTACTCTGAGACTGGGGCATTTAAACAATTGAGCATCTTTGATTTGTCATTGGGCTGGAAATAACTTTTTACACAGGTTTTCTTTAGGGATAGAAAGTAAACAGAGGAAGTCAAATTACACTCAAAGTAACTTGTAACTCTCCATTTTTTATTAGAGCACATCTATGGTGAGGAATTGATGCTAATCAATCTTTTTTAAGATTGGGTGCATCTGAAGGATCAGGTATCTCTCAGATAAGGCAGTCTGTTGGGACTTCATTTGGAATAGCTTCATTCACTCTGGCTAATGCATCAGTATGAAAGAAACCACAAAAATGTTGGGAGAGAAGATTACTGTACTGTCAGCTGCTCAAGACTGTCTGTGTTCTTTTGAGAAATATAAACGAAACATTCCCTTGAGCAGGATTTCCTGAAATAAACGTGTTTGGTTTGTTGGTTGGGTTTCTTCTTTTGCTTGGAAACCTTTCATTAAATGGACCTTCATCTGTGTGCTGGCTAATTGCTGCCAAAAAGCTTCCCTTTATTGTCCTGTCAGCAGCAAAATCTGTTTATCACATGATAAATCTTCTATCTCAGTGCCTCTTCCTGACAAATGAGGCATGAGTGCAAATACTCCCTCTCTCTCAAAATATAAAATGGCTCTGTTGGATTGCCCCAGTGTAACACCTTTAGCATTACTGAATGCTTTTATACTATGAGAAATGCATACTTTAATGCTTGAGTGAAATACTCCTTTTTATGTGTCTGTCCAAGGGGGTTTTGATTGTCCTGATACTTTGTGTTTGCTGCTGGGTGCAACATTCAGAAAATAGTAAGAGGTGAAGCTGTGCTAATGCTGTAAACTTGTTTTTACATGTGCTGTGCTGCCTGACACTGAGTGTGGCTTTTTGATGAGCCACAGCCACTGAAAGCCTGTCTGTGCTAGTCTGAAAGACAGGAAAATAAGGCAAAGTAGATATAAATTGCAACTAATCCCTTGCATTCTGTGTTGGCAATTTAAACTAAAAACCCAAATCTCTGTAGAGTGCCAGAGCACGGTAAAAAACTCACTAAGGGTAACAGGCAGGTCACACATTGTCTAGGAGGTGATTTTCAGTGATCTGAAATTCTTCTTTGTGGTTTTTGTGTACATGTAGCGACTGTTGGAGACAATTGTCCTGGCTGTAACATTTCTGTGATTGTCACCTTGTCCTGTTTACCAATAACATGGAGCAAGTCTTTGATTAAGGTGCACCTGATCCTGCAGAACAAACTTTATTCCTCCTTTTGTGCTATTGCTGCAGCCAGAGGACGTGTGCTAGGTACTTCCTATTGTCTGATCTTAACAGCTTTGGGAAAAATGACACATGACAAACTGAGCAAGCATGGCAGCTCGTGTCTGAAAAGCAGTGCTTGGGCTTGGATCTGTTGTATAGTGCTGAAAGAAGGAGCTTTGTGAGGTTATGCAAGGGCACTTCTTGGCATTTAGAAAGCTCCTTCCTTGTTCCTTTCCCAGCATAAGTATCCATTTCTGATTCATCAAATTGCTGACATCTACCTTAATTCCTGTTATTCCCATTACTGGTTCCCAAATTCAAGAACACAGAGGCCCAGCATTTTGCATCCAGTTTTGTCATGGCTTTGCAAAACTCACATATTTCAGGCCTGAGAAATGTCGCTTTTTCTGCTCTTAGAAGATCACTTATGAATATGGTACTTTGAATAAAAGTATTGTTTCTGACTTCACTAGGAGAACACTGAGCTGTGTTGCTTTCTGTGTATCCACTTCACAGAGAGCTACTGTCAACTCTGCCAGCTCATTCTCTCCTCTCACTGCTGAGTTTATAAAAGCTGTGACAGTGGTCATGCTGACAACTGAGCAGAAAGGAGAAGTATTGTACACAGGTAACAAGCAAAAACCCCTGCTGGATTGTATGTCATTAAATAAATGTTGAGTTTCTGGTTTCCTTTCTTCCAGTTATTAAAATGTGTACTTTGAAAAAGTGAGAAAACACTCAGAAGCATGGAAGGATAGCATCTTTCCTGATGTTTACTTGGTGAGGAAATCCATTTGTATTGATGAGGACAATTCTTTCAGCTCTGGCTCAAACTGGATGCAGAGGTCATGTTGGTACCTGGCAATGCTGCATTCAGCATCGTGTTGCTGTTAATTACACTGCTGGTGGAGAGGCAGTTGTGCTGCTTTCAGTCTTGTAGGATTTCATTACTTCATTATGTTGAAGTATCATTTGCTCACAGATGTGGGTAGGAAAAGAAATGCTGTTTGGGTGAATCTTTTTTCTGTTTGGGGTTTCTGTGTGAAAACATCTGGCTAGAGGACAAGTCTGGAGCCACTTGAAGAGATGTAGTCTAATTATTTTGCTTTGCAGTAGCTTGGCTAATCTGTTGCCAATCTAAATGTTTAAATCGGAGGCTGTAGGTCAAAATATTTATTTATACTTCAGAGCCACTGAGCAATCCAGGGATACATGTTGTGGTTAACGTTTCCCTTGAATGTAGCATTTCATTCTGAGGTGAAGAAAAATGTCATTTGCTGATGCTTATTTATGTCTGTAATAGCTTAGAAGCCCTGAGTACCTTTTATCAATTTTGTGTTCTTTCCTTGGTGTGTGCAATGCTGTCAGCTAGGTTGATTCTCCCTCTCATCTTTGTGGATATGCTTGTTTTGTTGCTTTGCTTGGTTGGGCTGAAAAGTCAGCACTTCTTAGGGTTAGGGTAACTTTATGTAGGTTAAAGTAATTTTTTTGGGGGTTAGGGCTACGAAGGATAGACTGGCATGTGCTGGACTTTTTGTTCTTCCCAAAAGAGCTTTTGCTGGTCACTCTGCAAGGCAGTACAGAAGTTGATGTAGCCCAGATACCAACCCAAACAGAAGGCCCTTTGCTAGTTTGTAAATGCAGTGGCTTTTGTCCAGCACTGCCTTAAACAGATTACCAGACCTTTGCCACAAAGGCAGATGGTTCTTGCAAAGTTTTAAGGACTCTTTGTTCTTACCCTTCAGCAAGAAACCCTGAATGCCAGAGCCCTCTGGAAATTTACTATTTTCAGGTTTTGCGAATTCTGTTTTGAAATTAAATGTGATTTATGGAAGTAAAGATAAAGCTGTGTCTGTATGCAGATTTTTCTTCAGTGTTTTAAACAAGTTTGTCTAGGATGTTTAGGTAGCTGCAATTGCAAAAACAGTGTGTTGTTAATGTTCATTATTGCAAATTTGTTAGTCACCAAAATAATGACAACAGCTACCTATTGGGCTTGTGTGGTGGTTGGTGGATGTAAGAACATCTTAAAAGAGAAAGCAGGTGTGTTGTCCACAATCCTTAAGCCCAAAACTTCTCTGTTCGAGATCATGGTTTCCTAAATATTATGCCAAATTTGAGCTCCATCAAATTACACAGAGGTGCAGACTTGATGCAGATCAGACAGAAGCACATAACTCTATTTTTGTTAAACCTAGAGAATGTGATGTGGTATTTATGCTGTAGCTGTGGGAGGACAGGCTGTGGCTCCACAACATAGTAAAAGTTTTATCTTAGGACAGATGTGTTCTGAAAACATTTTGGGGCAACTGGAGCTGGTATAATTACTTTGTGCTGCTTCCATGTGCTGTCATATGACTGCAGTAATTTTGATTTGGTAGTAAGAGCCCAGAGTGCTTTTTTCCAAGGTATTTTTCCACTGTTCATTCCAAAAGCTAACAGCTGAGCTGATTGCTGCACCGGTGCTACAGGGACGGCACAGGAGTTTGCTCTGTGGTGCTCTCTCCCCATTCTACTCCTCCACCTCCCTGTGTCTCACCACATTATGCAGCAAGGAGAGCATTAACACGTTTACTCGCTGCTTCCTGCCAGGTTACCAAGATGGTCAAGACGGTCACCACGAGGACGGTGCGGCAGGTGCCGCTGGGGCCGGACGGGCTCCCTGCCATGGACGGCTCCTCGCCCATGGGCAGCTACACAGACTCCATCGACAGGAGGTACCTGAAGAACGGGGAGCGCTTCATCACCCCCCAGGCCTCGTCCACCCTCACCCGATCCTACAACAGCTACAACGACTCGTACCCCGAGAGCCACGAGGGCCAGTACCGCCCCTACATCGGCCACGACGGCTACGGAGACCTCTCGGACAACTACGGCAGCTTGTCCCGGGGCGTCGGCTACCGGCCCCGCTACGCCTACGTGCCCGGGGGCACCTACCGGCCCGACGATGGCAGCTTCACCCTGCCCAGCAGGAGGGAGAACTACGGCCCCGTTGCCCAGCCCCAGGTGCCGGTGGGCAGCAGCGCTGACCTGAACCGCTCTCAGCCCGAGCGCTTCCAGCCGGAGCCCTATGGACTGGAGGATGACAACCGCAGCCTCGGGGTGGATGATGAGGGGTACGAGCTGGATCCAGATTACTCCACTGTGAACAGGAGGACGTCTGCAGGTGTGCCAGAGAGAGGAAGGCCTCACAAAGGAAGGTAAAACCCGTTTGTTTTTTACAGTGCTGTTCTGCAGCTTTTGCTTATTTGATCATGTGCATAGACTCTGTGATCTGGGACGTTCTGGAATTACTTGACAGAAAAACAGCCCATGAATGACCTGGAAATGCACACAAAGTATGGAAGAGAGGGAGGGGACCCTTTCAGTGATTCTGGGCTGTTTAGTTCAGGTTGAATTCGGAGAGAAAGCCTTCTTGTACAAGGTCATCTAAGTTAATTTTTTTCCCCTCTTCCTAAAAAAGAGTTGTGAATGCACTGTGTCGTCCCGGGGCTGTCCCACACTAGCAAGGTGAAAAGAGAGGTTTGCAATCTGTGAGGCTCCTGACAGGTCTGGTTGTGTGCACATCTGCCAAACAAAGGCTTTGAACAGCTGGTTGGGGTTGCAGATTAGCTCATCCCTGGCGGTGAAGGGGTGCTAGGCTGTCTTGTGAGGTGTTTGACAGCCTCTGCCCAGATCTGTGCTAACCACACACCCTCAGCTGTCTGAGGTTGTACTGAACCTCACAGATCTTAAAGACTAGATCAGTATTTTTGTCCTGTGCCTATGGAATGGGAGAAAAGAGTATCTGTGTTGTATTTAAAGAGGCCAGTTACAAATTACTTCTGGTTCAGCCCACTTTCTAAGGAATGTTCTATTTTATGCCATGTTTTCTGGTATTAGTTGTTTATGCTGTGTTCACAGCTAGCTGCTCTTGCATTTGAGAAAAAAACCCAACAAGCCCCAGGCCTGGGAAAAGTGTCTTGTTACTCAGCTGAAAGTCATCTTGTACAGACTTGAAGAACTTGCAATACTTTGTTTTCTAAGGGGTGTACAAATTTTACATGTGCCTGCTTGAAATCATGTCCTCATGATTCGTGTTTTGATATGGATTTAGTTCTCATTCTTTTCCTTTTAATTTAGAATAGTTTCCAGAGCTGTAAAGAGTCTGGATTCACCTGTCTCTGTGTGTAGACAGTCTTTAGACTGAACATTTCTGACCTCAGGCTTTGCTGCATCAGCAGCAGTTGTTGGTGAGATTTGTTGGGCCTTTTTGTTCTCCCAGAGTCCTCCTCCTTGGAGACGTTATGTCATTCATGCTTTTGTGGCTCCGTTTTCCCTCCCTGTTCTGGAAGTTCATTTCAAAGCTAGAATCAAACACTTCCAAATTGTCATCTATATTTGTGAGAGTTAAAAAAAAAATCTAGTGGAAAGGTGTCAAGGCATATCTCCCCAAACACCCTTCAAGTCCATTGTGACATCTTTAGTTCTGCAGGCTTACCTAGCAGTGGAATCATGTCCCTCATGTTTTGTGGGGCTGAAGGAAATACCTGCACCCAGTGGGTGCCAGAATCCTGCTCAGTGTATCAGACTTGTATTCGTGCTTCCCTGAACTAAGCAAGTTTACAGTTCTTGCTAAAAGAAGTCAGGCATCAACACTTTTAAATTTTTATTAACATTTTTCAAACTGTATGCAAAATGAATTATTAAATATATTCTTAGAACCTACCCATTTGCATTTTAAAATTTGGTGTTTTTATTAAACATCCCTTTGATTTATTGTTCCCTGCAGTTTGGATAGGACCAATTCATAATTTTTCTTCAGCATTTCTTTTCTTGTGAGGTTTTTTTCCATATTTAATGTGATCAAGAGGCTTTGACAAATAATTAGCCTGACTGTGGCAGCAAACTTTAGCTGTTGAGAACATAAGAAGATTGTATGAGGGCCTCTTCATAAGCAGTTACTTTTTGACATTTCAAAGAAATACTTGAACAATTCAGTAAACCTGCATTTCAGATATGCTACTGATCTGCAAGAAAATAAAGACTACAAGTAGTGCTTTGTACTAGATGAGGGTAATTGCTAATTTATTATTCCTCTCTAGTTTTTTTAGATTCTTATTTCTGTGAAAATGATTAAATGAATGTGATTAATTGATGTCACTTTTGATTTCAAAAAGTTTGTATGTGCAGAGCAGGTTTAACAACAACCCTGCTGGATGCTGTTCTGTGTTGCACCGACTTTGAGCATCTGAAAGCATCAGTGTCCTGAACAGAATTCCTCCACTGATGACTCACTGAGCCTTTGTCTCATGTTCTTCCCAGTAGGTGCTACTTCATTAGGAGTAGTTTAAAGGTAAAATAAAGTCCTTACTGTCAGTTGCTGTTCAAGAGGGCTTGAGTGGAGGTTTCTCATGGGAATCTGTGCTAGTGAGTCTGATTCCCTGTGTGATGAGGAGGCAGCCCAGCTGTGTCTGGAGGGGTTCCTAGGCAGGGGGATTACAAGTACAGATTGTTCTTTCCAGCTCTTGCCTGCTCCATTTGATCACAGAGATAAATACCTATTTGTGCTTTTCTTCTGTCATCACCAGCCTCATTTTAAGCTACTTATATTTCATTTTAAATTGGGGAATAATGTGCCTCCTCACAAACATCTCCTAATCCAGATAAATGCACAAAGGCAAATATTCCCTCTGCTGGCTCATCATTGCTTGTGGCTGGACTTTCTTGTTTTCCTTCATGCTGAGTCTCTCCTCATGGAAGATACATCATTTTCTGCAAGAACACCTGGCACTTCCTGTTCTTCCTCTCAGCTTATGCTCTGGTTTGGTGTAAGTCAGGTTCCGTAGTAAACTGGGGTTAGAGAAAAGCATTTGGGGTGTATAGTATTGAAGTAACGTTACTCAAGTTTACTGATGAATGTATTTACACAACTTTAATTGAGTTTGTGCCCTTTTTTCCTTCATTTGCTGGGTTCCCTTTATTATACTAGGTGTTTTATTATATTTTTTTAAAACATCTAATTTTACTGTGTGCTGGATGTTTTATATACAGTCCTTTTTGCAAGAGAAGCAGGAAGTACTGAATACTTTTATTCACAAAAAACATCCCTACTACTATTTGAATATTTATTAATCATTAAATTGAAATTAACACAGACAAGCTGGAAAGAAATGGCAAGTCATAATTCATCTTACTGATTTAAATAACTTCTGTTCAACTTTTTCTTGTGTGAGTGGTGATTTCTTCCCAGAGTGGCATTCTGCACTGGTAGGAGCATTCATGGGACCTCTTTTTCCCTAAGAGCTCTGGAGCAGCTATTGCCAGTGTTACTGTTCTAGACGAGACAGGGTATAAATTCTTAATGTTGACTAAATCAACAACAAAACAGTTTTATACCGTTAAATTATCTATGCCAGAAGTCTGATTTAAGACACTGAGACTGTATTTGGTGGTCATTTCATGGTCCAAATTATTACTACCAGAGAGTAAGCCAGATTTTAGATGAAATACCTTTACCAGTGGGTCTGTTGCTGCTGTTGTGTATAGACAGTGAGAGTACTGGTAACACCATACATGTCAGTCTCATTCTTCTTCTTGTGGTTTTTTCACTACAGAATAAAAAGACTTGTAGATAAAACTTCCAGTCAGCACTTTTGGCCTACATTCACTAATTGCAAGTGTTGTACATGGGCAGCATCAGGGTGTTGTCTAGTTTGGGGCAGGAGTTTATGGACATGCTGGGCAGAACAGGGTGCAAGCAACATGGTCAGTTTGAAAAATACTTGGGATTTTTCTGAGTGTCTTCCTTAGTGTGAATTCAGTTTGGTAGTATTCTGGTAGCAGGAGGTGATGAGTGGCAGAGTTTGATGTGGCAGGAGGCAACCCGAGTCAGCTCATCATTGGCAGTTCTTAGGTGCTTCCTGTTAAGGGGATTTTGGTGTTTTAACCATATGGCCCATAACTCAGGCTTGTGTCAGCAGAGGATTCACTCCAGTTTTGAATCCCCCTGTGTATCCTATCAGGGAACAGAGCCTGGCAAAAGTAGAATCTCATTCTGCAAAGTCTTTACGTCTCCTCTTCAGTGTTTGGCACGAAGTTTCCTTCTGAAATCCCAAGCCTTTCTGGTCTTTTATCCAAAGCAGACACCAGCTGCAAACTGTAATGAATGTAACACTTGTAGAGGTTGGTGAGGATTAAATGTTTAAATCCTTCACCTGTTTACTCAAATGTGCCTATGTTGAAGCCATAAGGAAGGTGATAAATCCACAAGCTCTCTCCCAGTTTTTAACTGTGCTAGAATGTGTTTTGATCAATTCCCTGAGACAGGTGATTAGCAAGACCCATGGCATCCTAAAAACTCAGCTGCCTTGCTACAGACAGACAGAAGGCAAGATGTTTGCAGTCGGCAACTGTGGCATAGCACCAGAGCTCTTCAGTCCTGAGAGTAAAGAGCTCTTGGTCTCCTGAGAGCAGTATCTGCTGAGGCTCTTGTTAGTCCTGTTTTGTATCAAGTGGCTTTTCCTTCCCAGCCTAGCTGCTCCAGTAATGTGAAAGTGAAAAATCTCATTTAGTCCACACCAGACTGACTCAGAAAGAGGATTTCTTTACTCACCCAGTGTGTAAATGTGTTGGTGATCAGGGTGTGTGTAATGCCCTGATAGATTCTTGCTTTTGACTTTCTCACTTTGCCATTCTGTTCTTCCAGCCCTCTGTTAAAGGAGAGGTGATGGGGCTTGTGGCACTTTTGCCTTGCTCTGCCTGAGCAGTTGTTTTGCTCCTCTGCAGCAGACCTGTTTTGGTAAACTGCTTCCCCTCTTTTTTTAACCTTCCCTAGCCTTGATCAGTGTATTTAGTCATGTGAATCTGCAGTAGTGTGGTACTTGCCTTGGCTGAGCTTTCTTGTACACCTCTTGGGTTCATACAGGATCCAAGTTTCTACATAATGATTTGGGGTCTTCAAGGTTCAAGTGTGCAGGTGTTTTCTTTGCTGCCAGGTACAGTCATTAAGTTGTGTCACTGGTGCATTAGCAGTGGCTCTCAGCAGTGCTTCATCCTCAGAGGAATGTTGTATCTGGCCTGTGAAGGCTTATTCCAGCAATTGTGGGTTTTTGTTTCTATCCTCTTCTCTACCTATTGTTGAGAGGTGCTGTCTTGTTCTAAGGCGGGGTTGTGATTTTACTTAATTTTCTTATTCTTTTTAATGATCAATTCTTGACTTCAGGTATTTTCACTCGTTTAATAAGTAGTGATTGACAATTAAAACTAGTGCTGTTGGTGCAAGACTTATGTGGTACTCTTTTGTCATGACAGTGTTGCAAGTTGAAGTTCGAACTCAGAAGTTTTCTTTTGACAAATGTAATGAGACCAAGGAGCTTTATGTGGCAAAGGGAAGAGGACACAACATGAGGAAGACAGGCCCATCTGTGTGGTTCTGTTTGGAAGGCTTTGTGGAAATAAAGCAAACAAACTGCATCCCAAGACAGTAATTATCTTTGTGTACTTGCACGGATGAGGAGGAAAGGGAAACTTAATTGTGCAGGTGTAATTGAGGTGGTACAGAGTTATCTTGTGGGCAGCTCACAGGATTGAGATGTTCAAATTGCGAGTTACCAAGTCAAGCAAGGAACATCTGTGCAATTATTAAAATTAATCTTCTGCTGCTTCTATGAAGTGAAAAAGAATTTAACATGAGGATGGGTTTGAGAAATGAGAATTTGTTGTAGTTTTAATGCTGGTTATCACAAATTTGCATTTGTAAAAACAGAATTTTGAGGAGTAGCTAAGGGCTTTTGTTATTCTTTCTGGCCTGTGCGCATTCACAGAAGAAAATTGTTTCAGTGTTGTTGCTTTCTGCTTGGAGTGATGGAAACAGCTTTGTTCTGTAACAGAAAACATGACTGTCCAGAGAGTGTAAATTACTGTGTAGAGCAACTGCTGAATTATACATACACAAATAACTGCATCAATAAAAGGACTTTTTCAGATTCATTCTGAGTTTTGGATACTTGCCCATTTTTATCCTGTCATTCAGTTTATGGTTTAGAACAGCAATTAAAGCAACGTAAAGTCAGGAGAGGCACTTTTAACATTAAAAGCGTTAATTGTACAAGGCTAAGTTCGGTCTCCACCTCCGGTTGCTCTTCTCCCCAGAGCCCAGTTTAATTATCAGTCCCTTTGGGATGACAGCAAGTTCCATTTTCTTCTGACTTCTAATAGCCTATACTTCAGCATGACAGCAGAAATGGTTCAATAACATCACTCAGTGCTTTAGATGAAAGATTTTAAGAAACATTTTGTAGCAATTAGAGCCACTTGCTTGACTGAGCTAACTGCAGTACTGAGACAGTAGCAAACCTGTCCAGGAAAAATCTGTAAAGCAAAAGGCTGCTGCTGGTTTGAAAAAATACATCTGTAAGAGGGTGGTTTATGGCAATATTGATTAAGAGTAGTGTTTAGAGTATGCTTGTCTGAGCATCAACATGGAAATGTAGTGGAACTTGTCAGACTCGCTGAAATATATCTGTGGTCCCTGCCCAGGCCTTGAATGCCTTTAATTAGAGTTTTGGTTTGTTGCAGAAGTAGCAGCATTAATGAAGATCAGTGTTTCCTACTAAATGTAATCCAGCTCTGTTGTAATTGCTGTGCTAAGTGACCAAAATGAAAGCAATCTGTTTGATGGCTTGCAGTTCCTGTCATCATTTCGCTGCTAGCCAAACAAACACTGTGCTGGAGTCCCATCACTGCTGAGAACTCAACTATGGTTCATTTTCAAGTTACTCCAAATAAACTATTGGAAACTGTAAATATGCTGCCCCAGTGATGTTTGTGATACTAAAATCTTTGCTTGTGGCTGAAATCTCCATATTGCCTCAGAGTTACAAAGTGTTTAAACGTGCCTTTTTTTTTCTTTTTCCCCCTTTCCTTGTCTTGGGACCGTTGCTTCTCACAGGGGCTACGATGACCCCATCGAGACGGAGATGGTCGAGGAGAGGATCCCGTACCTGCACGGCGGCTACGCGGCGCCGCTGGCGCAGCCGGAGCGGGGCAGCATGGCCAGCATCGACCGGCTGGGGAAGCGCTCGCCGTCCATCGACAGCATCCGCAAGGACCCGCGCTGGAGGGACCCCGACCTGCCCGAGGTCATCGCCATGCTCAGCCACCCCATCGACCCCGTCAAGTCCAACGCCGCGGCCTACCTGCAGCACCTGTGCTACGAGAACGACAAAATCAAAAAGGACGTGAGGCACCTCAAGGGCATCCCCATCCTGGTGGGCCTGCTGGATCACCCAAAGCCTGAGGTCCATCGTAAGGCCTGCGGGGCTCTCAGAAACATCTCCTACGGGAAGGATAATGAAAACAAAGTGGCTATAAAGAACTGTGATGGGATCCCTGCATTGATCAGGCTGTTGAGAAAAACAAACGACATGGAAGTCAGAGAGCTAATTACAGGTCAGTGTCTGTGATTTTGTTAATGGATTAGTCTTTAGAACAGTTCTTTCAGCTCCGGGAACAAGAATTTCTGGAGATTACAGCACTGAAGGAGAATTTGGAGCACTGGCTGCAGCTGTTGTGTAGCTGCACCACGTTTGTGGGGTGAGCGCCTGACACATGCCCGTCAGGAGGGGATCGAGATCCTCTGTGTGTGTGTGTGGTGCACTTGGGATTCCCTGGCTGCTGAGGATGGATGCTGCTCCTTGGGTGTAGCATGTGCTTGGGGTACTGAAGCTGAAATGAGTTACAGCAGCTCCATTGACAGGTAATTTGTAGTGCACGTGCCCTCAGCGTGTTGTAATCACAAGGTAAGATACACTGAGCTAAATCTTTCCTTGTTAATCTCTTATAAAACAATCCTGCTGCCATGTCCCCACACCCTCATATTTAGAGAACAGTCAGTCTCCTCAGGAACACTTCCAGCCTGGTGCTGAGCACTCTTGAGGCTGTATATAAAGTTGCAGCACTTCTGGGCTGGAAAACTCAGATTTTAGGGAGCATAGGGTCTGCTCTCGCTACTCTGGACACAGATTTGTTTATTGCAAAGGTTGGAAAAGGGAGAATTACATTTCAGGTTACTGAGTTTGTGCACACTTTGCAGGGAGTTTTCAAACGCTTACAGCTCCATTATTTAACCTGTTTTTATTTGAACTTAGTCTTGGGCATCATCCAAGAGGAGCAATAAAGTATATGCCAAGTTTCAAAGTTCAGCCATTAAGTGGGAAAGGGTGGAAAAGTATGTCAGGTCTTAAATAAGGAGAAAGATATTGTTCTTCAGTCTCCCATAAATCATGAGGAGTGAAATGGATTTCCCTTTCTCTTCTCAGAAGCCACAGGGAATATTTGGATGGAGACCAGAGCAATTCTGATGAATTTCTGTGCCAGAACAGAATTTTTCCTGAAAGCTCTTTGGGGATGGAAATGGGTCCAGGGCTGAAACTGTTTACTGCCTTATCAATGTTGGCTTGCAATGCAGGTAGACCCTATTGCAACATTGATTAAGCCATTAGAGGTAAACATCATAATTCTGTAATTTCCTCAAAAATTATAGTAGCTCTCTTTAAGTTTTTACTGGTAATCATAATTCTCTGAGATGAACAGTGGCCTTGGGTGTTCCATCTGTTCTTCCACAGCCATTACAGGCTATTTAGCAAACTAGGTCTAAATACACAGTGTTGAAAGTAGCAGGGTATTTTTCCAGCCTTTTTCCAGTGAGCTGGCAAAGGAGAGCTGTCTGTTTTGTCAGAGAACCTCTGAGTAGCACGTGCTGGTTGTGCTCTGAGAGCTGTCTGTGCTCTGCCTCAACATGGAAACTCTGCAGGTGGTATTTATATTCCATTTGTTGCACTCATTTAATGTGATGGCAGACCTTTTTTTTTTAAAGAAAGAATATCTGTTTATCTACTGTTCTAGTTTAATCAACACTCATTTCTGGAGTGCTGAGAAGCAATAAATTTATTTCCTTAGATTCAAGAAAGGAGAAGCCAGTCTATAATTTACTCTGAAGGAATATCATTATAGTGCTAAGGTGGTAATCAGTCACTTCTAAGATGGCAAAAAAAAACTGGATGTTTTTTCTTTTCACTGTAAATGGCAATTGCTTTGATTTCCCATTGCTTAATTAGCTTTAGAGTTCAAATGCATTTTATTTGGCAGAAGTCTTTGCTAATTAAATGTAGTATTTTTATTCCACCTTGGCTTTTGTTACTTAGAGCTCTTTATTTCCCCTTACTCAAAAACACCAGGAATACTAAGGGCATTAACCTAAACAGATGTCCAGTAACAGATGATGTGCATTTAATCTCCACCTAACCAGGAATAATGTCATTCCCCTTCTAAAATGATAGCACCAGATCCGGTGTGAGACATTCAAGCATCAGCACAGAAAAGAAGAATATTCCAGCAATGCCTGTGTGGCTGGTGCTCCTGCACTTGCAGTGTGTGTTCAAAGCTCTTGCTGATAATGTGGAATTGTCCATTTGTAAAATGAGCTCCAAAAGTCAGCAGAGAGAAACAAGAGCCAGCTTGAAGTGCAAAGGGAGTATTCAGGCAGGGCTGCTACAAAAGGACTGTGTTCTGCAGCCTCAGAAATTCAGATCACAATTCCAATGTTCTCCTGATAGCAATCGTGACTACCTATCTGGGTACTTTTCCCTAGTGATAAACCAAAGCCTACCTTTGCCATGAAAGTTTTTCAGTTTGTCTGGGGTGAAATGTCTGGGGACTTCATCAGAAATGCATTAGGAAAAAGAAAAAAAATATAACAGCATGCAGCATTTGTGTTTATTTCTTTTAGCAGGCTCCAAATTCAGGTTTGGTATGACACATTGATTTTTCTACAGTTTAATCTTTCTTTAACTCAATACTGGCTGCTTTTCAAAAGCTCAGTAGTAATCACCAGCTGGTCATTCAGCTAAGGACAAATGATAAAATAATCCTACTTACCAAAGAGATTCAAATAATTTAAAGAAGTTTAAATAATTCAGTTGTCTGAATTCAAGAGCAGTTCTGGGCTTGAAGTTTTGTTTCTCTGGCTGTGGAACACTGCCTGCCTGCAGGACAGGAGGTACCCAGGTCACACAGTAACCCTGTTTGAGGCAGGGCTTTTTGGCAAAAGAGACCATCATTCCCATCTAATGTGAGAGTCAGTCCTTGACAGCTCCGTGCCTTCTCCTTTGCTTGGTGTGGTGCAGCAGCCACAGCTGGCTCTGGTTGCTGTGTTAATGGAGTGGGGAAAAAGCCACGCCAATGAGCTAAAAACACCCAAGAGGTGGATGCAGCATGGAGGGTGGAATCAAATGTGTGGCATCAGTGCTGAATGAGTTGTGCTGGGAGTGTGTTCCCTTGAGCACTTCCCAGGATGCATGTTTGGAGAACATGTTAGACAACTGTTTTGACAATAACTTTCGGAAGCAGGCAGAGTGTACTGATACACCACTGCTCCCAGATTAAGCCAGGCTGTAGTTTTTTTTTCTTACAGTTATCACTGGTTTTAGGAGAATTTGAAAAACTTCTTTGGGTTAGTGCCATCACTGTTTCACCAAGTGTTCTTGACATGCCTGCAAATGGCACTAAACATGATGTCCCTTGAGGTCAGAGATCTGTGAAGTGTGCAAAAACTGCCTTCTAAATTCAAAGATACATTCATAAAATACCACAGATCTCACTTCTCTTTCTTTTTGAAATGTGGAGTTACCAAATGTTTCCTAGCTACTGCACTGCCAAAAGCTTGATTTAAGTATTGGAGTGTCCATAAGTAAATCATAAGTAGAGTTGTGTCGAGAAACACTCCATAAAATTCTTCCTTCGTTTCTTGCTAGTCTTGTAGCTGTACTTCTGTACTCTCAGTAGATCTTTTTCTTGAGAAAAAGAGAGAAATGAGGATTAAGCTGATAAGAATTAAATCTCTTCTGATTGGGAAAGCTACAAAAGTTTTATCTTGAGTGATAAGGTTTTTGTGGAGGAAATGTTCCTATCAGATATGCAGGACCAAAATTCTATTACATTCTTTGAAAAGCAATCAGAGATTGGTAGCTTTAATGAATAATTTTGTTCTTTGTGAGAACATTGGAGTAATTTTGTTGTTTAATGACATTGCACTGATTTTAAGTGGTGCAGGACGTGATTCTTCAAATTGGTTATAATTGAAAAATGATTGACCTTCAAAATGATCTGCAGATGAAATATTTTGATCTAATGCTCAAATAGCAACTTGCAGATAAATCAGCTGGCTCAGAACTCACAGCTCCTGGGCACTGATGTGTGCTGAGGTCCCTGCCAGCTGCTCAGACTGGACTCCTCTTTGGAGAAGTACCCTACTCTCTTCAGCTTGCTCAGATCAGCTTTCTCCTTCCATTTTCTACTCAGGACTTCTCAGAAGAAGGTCCTTGTCCATGGTGTGTTCTGTCACACACTAGCTCACGTTGAGGTGCTCAACTTGACCACTACTGAAAGGAGCACAGCTCCAGTCTTCAGGACTTTGATACAAACAAAGTCTGTGAAACAAATGCCCCCCAGACCAGCACTCAACAGGAATCCCTTGGAATATATTGCAGACTGCTTATTTTTCCAAGTGATAAACTATCTGGTATGGACCACAGAAAAGGAATTAAACAGCTTCTAGTTTCTTGGTGATGTTGGATTTTTTTGAAATAAAAGCTTGTATTATTTTCCCTGCTTAATATGGTGAAAAATCAGGGTTGATGGTTGAAGGTAGAAGTACATAAATACATTACTCATAGTATTTGTGAATAAAATACAAATTGCTAGTCATCATGTTCATCTTCTGAAGAATACTTCATCTTTCTCTAGTCCTAAAAGTCCTGCAGTCTGTGGTCAAAAAGGCCAAGGCTTGTAGTGAACGTGCATGGAAGCTTTAGATAACTTCATTCACCTTGTGCTGCTGTGTTAGTGACATGATTTCTCCTGAGTGCTGTTCATTTGAATTGATTATAGTTTTAAAAACAGTGTTTCCAGCTTTTTAAACCGTTGGTGTTATGCTAATAGTAACCCGGAATCCTATTTAAAGATGGATGTCAAATTTACAGCAATTTTTCCCTCTGATTTTTTTTGTTGTGCTGCTAGATGCTACAGTTGGATCTGAATTTGTTTCCTTAACCTAAAGGCTGTCACTATCAGTGATTTTTCCATAGAATTTGTTTTCTCTAATGCAGAAAGGATGCTGGGATTTGGAGCTCTTTGTTTCATAATTTTGAGTAAGAAAAATGTACTGTCAGTGTGCTTATTTTCTATACCCTTTCCTGTGAAATATTTTCCCCGTGAAGTCAGTGTTCAACCTGAAGTTTTTTCTCTGTCTTTGGAACCACAGGACTCCCTCACCTCTGTTTATCTTGAGCTACATTTCTTTTAAGTGCTGTGCATTTTCCCTTGCTAAATGCTGTTCAACAAAGAGATTCTTTTGGATTCCCTTATGCACCATCAAGGAGAATATTATAAATTTAAGTGCTTTGACTTTTTGAATAATTTGAAGTGTTTGCACTAATTTTTTTAATAGTAAGGCTTTCTTTTATTCTTCCTCTTCTTCTTCTTCAGTTTGTTTTGTATGAAAGATTGTAGAGATGGGAGGCAGATGAGAAATTGAAAGCTTGTAAAATGCTGGGGGAGTTTTCATCAAAGAGGGTGCAGGAAAGGTTCTGTGTAACTCCAGTTCCCTTTGTCTGGTAGTCACTCACTGAAATTTACAGTCAAATTGTGTTTTAAATAGTTCATTGCCTAAGTTACAGCCAGCCCCTTGATAAAAAATCTGTGTATGTGGAAGAGCTGCTTCCATAGGGGCAGGGGGTTCTCTTGGTCACGGTGGGGTTACAGCATTAGAGCTGGTGGTAGATGGGCAGGTTGGTGCTGCAATCCAGTTGGAACTCTGTTGAATCCACAGTTGCATTTAGTCTCTTGAGATAACCTCTGGTGAATGAGAATACAGCAAGAGTTTGGAGGTGGTGATTTTATTTTTAAGTTGTGGTTGAAGGTATTGAGGTCTAGATACAAATCTCTAAGTCTTAAAACAAGAAAAAGGTTTTAGTGTTGGAAAACTTTCATACAATCCTGTAATATTAGAGGTCTTGGAAATTTTGTAGGTATTCTTGACTTTTACTTACATATCTGCCTCGTTCTTCTTAAGCAGTAAAATTTGCCTTTGTAGTTCTACTCTAGAAGAAACAGATTACATCATTGCTCCAGGAAAGATTGAAAGGAGCTGAAACAAAAGGTTGCACTTGTGTTGTTCTGTTCTGGTTTTTAGGTGTATATACAGTCAGGTGGAGATTTACAGTGTGCACTGTAATCTGCACAAGTCCACAGTCGTCGTAACACAGGGAGCCTCAGGTTGATATTCAGTCCATTTAGGAAAGTTTCCTTGTGTGTTTTGGGCAATCTGGATTTACTGTTTGGGCTGTCTGAAAATTTTGCTAGAACTCACACTTTTCCTTGGAGACCAAAAGAGTGTGTCTGGCTCCCTCCAAGTGTTGTTACTGACATTTCTCAGATGGTACCAGGCTGGGTCTATGCAGAAATTCTCTCTGAAGTGAGTGTTCTGTTTTAGTCCTACTCTGATGAGTAATAACTGTCAGGACACTGATACAGGTCTGCTGGGAGGCTGTATCACTTATCTAACACTGGGTATTTTGCAGCTCTAAAGCTGTTGTTCTGTTACTCAGTTTTGATGTTTGACTTCTGTCTGCTTTGGCTCATAATAGAGGTAAAAATGAAAAGACAGCGGAGTTTTGGTTTCTGGCTGCTTCAAGAAATCATATGCTTGTGGCACCAGGAGATTTGAACACAGATATTGCTTGTGACAGTAAAATGTGAAGATAAATAATAGAGAGGAGACTTGAATGAAATATTATGTTGTGCAGAAGATAAGCAGAAGATCAGTGATCCTCCAGAAATTCATCTCTCCTAGGATTTGCTCAATATACTTTGCTTCACTGGATGAATTTTTACTTTTTGAGGCATAGTTGGACTTGAAAGTGTAACACAATTTGTATACAACAGAAAAATCCTATTAATCTCCAATAGTACATCACTTTTATGTAGTCTGTGTAGGGCTTGATGAGTTCAACAATATCCATGTCTTGATAAAAGTGCTTTCGTGGTCTGTTGAAGCTGTGGGATTTTCCCTAAGCTGGTTCTGGTCTGGCATCTCATCAAGTTGCTTCGCCTTCTTGTTCAGTTTTATGATTTAACCTTCAAGCACTTCTCCGTCAATCCTGTGATTCTAGATTTAATATAGTTGTATCCCCTGCAGGCACCCTGTGGAATTTATCCTCCTACGAGCCCCTGAAGATGGTCATCATCAACCACGGTCTGCAGACGCTGACCAACGAGGTGATCATCCCGCACTCGGGCTGGGAGAGCGAGCCCAACGAGGACTCGAAGCCGCGCGACGCCGAGTGGACGACGGTCTTCAAGAACACCTCTGGCTGCTTGCGGTAAGGCGCGGCCGCGCGTCATTTTCCCCGTCGTTTCTTGGGGGGTTCAGTGGAGAGTTTGAGCTACTGACTATTTAGGATCCAAAGTGTTTTTTCTAAAATTCCTTGCAAAGGAGCATTTTCTGGTTTCATACTGTGTTTGCAACTCTGGAAGAACCTTGAGAGCAGGACAGTTCATGCTAAAAGCTGGAGTCAGGAGGAGTGCTAATGCAGTCTGAGAAACCTGAGGAATCAGTGTTCCCTAAACAGAGTGGGTCTGATTTTGCTTTTCTTTTGAGAAAAAATAGTTACGCTCAGTTTAGATTCTTCAGCTTTGTGATGAAGTCAATTAGTTTGAATAAAACTAATAAAGATTTGTCATTATACCTTATCTTGCTCTTAAATATATTCCTGTCAGATTTCTACTGATTAATGCATCTTCAGAAGTTGGTTAATTTCTGTTTCTTGGGCTTGTGGTAGCTAAATTGTAATAACTATTCCCCCAAGTAACTTCACAAATGAAGAAAGTAATGAAAAGTGTTCAGGAAGGGCCCATTACTGAAATTATTTGCAGTCCCACTGGAATCTGAGGTCCTTTAAGCAGACTCCAGACATCACAGGTTTTTACTTACTAGTGTCTCATTTCTAAGGGTGTTCTGCAAGAGGAAATTAGTCATGGTGAGGGAATAAAAGGATTAGCTCAATGAATATGAGATTCTCAAGTAAGTATAGACAATAAATTGGTCATTAGTAGACTGGCCTAATCCACATCATAAAATTTTATTAGTATGTGGATCCACTCAAACTTCTGTACTTCAGGGTATCTTTTGGTTTGTTGATCAGTTGGGTTTGGACTTTTGTGGGTTTTTTGTTTTTTTTTAATTTTAAAGTAAGGCACTGGTTTTACAGGAAACTCAAAAGCTTGTGCCCTTTTGGTCATTGTATTCTTAAAGTCTGTGAAGAAGGGTGTGAAACATAGTACTGAGATTTTAAGAGAATTTAAACTTCTGGTATTTCAAAGTGGTCCTGATACAACCTGAAATGCATCAGGCTGACACCCAGTGAATGGTGGCTGCTACTGCTGTTGAACAGGGAAATGTCTTTCAGTCCTCTCGTCTCTGGTCTCTGCTGTCATAGTCAGGAGGGGCTTAGTGCTTCCTTGTGGAAATTTTGAAGCTTCCATCAGATGTGGGGCAAGGTGATCTCATGCTTGACTGAGGCTGCCTAAGGTAGATGGGGATGTGAGAGCAGGGAAGGGTAATCTGGGAAGGTAATCTGTCCGTGTCTGTGCCGAGCCATGGAGACAGCAGCCTCTTGCACAGGAGCAGGGGAGAACTGCCCTGCTGTGTGCCCACTTTGTGCAGTGAGGTGAGTGAGTGCAGGGGCAGGTGGGTATGAGCTGCCTTTCAGCTGATTGTGCTTCCTGTTCCCATGTCAGGGATATGACACACACCGTTTGTAGAGCACTTCCAGATCTAGGGGTCTAAATGGACATATCAAAAGTAATTAACATTATAACTGTTGGAGATTATTTTGTGTTGTGTGTGGAAATCCTGTGCAGCTCATCTTTAAAAGCAGCAGCAAGATGTGATAGTTAACAACAACAGAGAATAAATTGTTGCAGCCATCTGTCTGACAGACATCAGTGTTTAAAAACCCCTTTGCCTACGCTTCTCTGACTGACTCAGTAGCTGGTCCTAGAAATTCAATTTTCCACGAATGGAGCTTATTGCAGACTGCAAACTGTTCACCAGTTTGATATTTAATTGGGAGGTTAGGCCTCTTTATTATGTGCCAGCCTCCCTTTGTTCTCTTTGGAAGTGAGCCTCAGGTGTGAGCTGCGTTTTCTCCCCAAATAACTGGAACAATCTCTGAGCTTCTGAGGTTTCAGGTGTCATTGCAGTTTAGGTATCTAAGCAGAACACAGGCACTGTGCATGCAGCATGGCATTCGTTTCAATATCATTTTTTCAGTTAATGAAGTTTATCAACAGATGTGGGTGAGTTTGTTCCAAACACAGTGATTCACAGCTTGAACTGCCAGTTAATTATTACTTGCCTTTTTTTTTTTTTTTTTTTTAACACTGCTTGATCATATTTACTTTGTTCTTAATCTAGGTTTCTCCTTTGATAATGTGGAGCCATGGAAACACCCATTTGAAAATAATTAAAAACAAGTAATTTAAAAAAAACCCACACTACAATTATTTAGCTTTACCTCTTCTTCAGTTCCTGGTCCATCCCACTTTCGTTTCCAGTCTTACCCACTTTCCCCTGTGTAACTTGTGTCTCTCCCTCCTCACTTTGGGGGTTCAGGTGCTGGTGTGTGTGCAGGTCTGACTAGGTCAGGGTGAGCTACGTAGTCACCTTGGCCCAGTGCCTCAGGGTGGATTAAGAGCTGCATTAACAGCTGGTGTAGTGTGGTGTGGTAGGCACATGTGGGATGGAAGGATGCTTCAGCTGCAGGCTCAGTAATTGGGGCCAATACCTGAGCAAAGATCAGTACCTGCACCAGGACTGGGGATTAACTTACAAGGTTAGAGCCATGGTCCATGCACTCTGCCCTTGGCTGGAGCTGAGGTGGTTTTCTGGCTTTCTGTAGCCCTGATTTACCCAGTTGCTGGAGTAACAGAACTCCCACTGTGATGCTGAATACTGATTTTGGTTTGTGTGGCCACAGGACTTGCACCCAGCAATGGACCTGCCCTTTATCTGTGTCTGATACTGAAAAACATTGGACCTGGTCATTTACAAGCTAGAAATCAGAGAAGCTGCTCACAGTTTATAATCAGAAAAGCCATTCAGGAAAGCTGCTTTGTCATGTTGTTTCATTCTGGGATTACCTGGGATACTCAGTGGTGTCCACTGCAGGCTGCTGTAGCTGACTACACACACTGAGAGTCAGTGGGAATCCAAAAAGAAGGCCACTGGTGAAGGTCTATATTGACTGTTGTTTATTTAAGGGGCTCCTGAAGTCGGACTCTCTCCTGTCACTGTGCCCATTGTAGGGATCTTTTGAATCCTGGTATCATCTGGAACACGGCTGATGGGTTCTGTGTGCCATCTCGCTCTGCACTTGACTCGCCAAAAACTGTTCAAAGAAATGTTTGGGGGAATCTTGTATTCCCCTTCGGAAACGTAGCAGCACATCCAATTTGCAAAGTATGATCTGATAATGAAATTTATTGGATGCTCTTTTATAATCTTGACCACTGAAGTTTTCAGGAACTAGTGCAGGTGATGGTAGTTTTGCCTTCATTCCCATCCTGAGATCAGGAAAAAGATGCCTCCTCTTACTTTACTGTGTTTCCAAGGGTAGACACAATATGATAAATAGATCTGCAATATATCCATAATCACTTTACTGCTGCAAATGGTCCCTAGCCTTGTGAGGGATGCTGCCCTGGGTGTCATTTTATAAAATGAGTATTACTGTATTCTGTTGAAGCTGATAAAAGAAACATGTATGGTAGAAATCTGGAAAGGAACAGTAAAAAAAAAGCAAAGTGAATTTTTGGTTATGAAGCAGTAGGGCTGGGGAAGAAGTAAGGAAGACTTTTGTTTACCATAGGAGAATCATTAACTATGCACAGATGTTCCTTCATTTCATTTACAGTGCAAGTTTTATGTCTTCACATTGTATTTTATACTTTTAGGTATGTGGCAAATGTATCCCCTAGTTACTGCCTTTTTTTTTTCCTTTAAACACTTAAATCCCTACTGGGATTTGCTGTCCAGAAGCATTTGTCTTCAAATTGCACTCCTGGTGAAATAATGGAATTAGTTGGTGCATCTTCTTGGTGCCATTTCATGATACTCCCTGCAGCTTTTACCCAGACATTGAGGTGCTTCAGGAGAAGAGTATGAGTTGAGCTCTTGTAGGAAAGATGGATCTGTGGTTCATGAACACCCAGGCAGTACCAGAGACCTTCCCTGGGTCCCCTGGTTTCTCCTAAGGTGCTTCCCTGCTTTGCATGGATATTGCTGCATCTGTGGGTCAGAGCACTGTTGCAGTCGCATCATCTTGTTAGTTGTCTGTGGAGATGCCCACCATGATTCCTAGTTCTCTGGAAGCAGCAAGGATTTTAATGGTTTAAAAATCAAATTCATTCTGGGTTTAATTGCTGGTTTCTGCCTAATTACTTTTAATTCTCTGTTGGATTTTTTCACTTACAAGAGGACAGAGTAGAACTTCATTCCTAAATTGCCAACTTTCTAGCCTGATTCCTGTGCTAAACTGACCTGCTGTCAACAAATGTTAAATGAATTAATTTGCATAGCAAACAGATGCAAAGTGCTCCTTTTTCCAGAGGTACCATCTGTAGTTGCAGCATTTCTTGTCAGTTCTCCAAGTACACAGAAATTCGCATTCACAAATATCCTCAGGGTTCAGAGCCCTGGCCGAGGTGTATGAACACAAACAAACTGCACCCACCTGACTTTCCCTAAAAACACACATTCTTCAGCTGGAGATTGCACATAACAGCTTGTCCAACATCAGCCCCTGAGAAGGGAAGGGACATCCTGGTGGCTGGAGCTGTACCAGGAGACTTGAGAAGTGTGGATTTATTTGCTGGTGTGCTACTGCACTGACATAATTACAGGCAAGATTAATGGTATAAACCTTTTTGTGGTCTGATTTTTAATAGCCCTGTCTCCTTCTGGCTTTGGTGAGGTTCAGGCTGCTAAGTGCCTTAGGGGATCTGGACTTCACTGATCTTCAGTCTTCTGTCTTTACTGTGGGACTGGCACCTTGGTGTGTACCTTCCCCTGAAGTTGCTGTAAATACCAGTAGTTCAAGGATTTTGTAATGATTCATCCTACAGGCATAGGCATAACTGGGAATAAGCAATTCCTGTAGGTGTAAATTAAGGGTTTGGTCCCATGGAATCAACAGCTGAGAGGTTTGGTAAATGTGGGATTCAGTGCTTGAAGATGTGGTTTAAGGACTCAGGTAATTCAGAGCCAGGAATATGCTCCACTAGGTTGAGAAATGATCTAAGAGTATCTGCAGGCCCCTCT